AGAAAATGTTTCGGTTTTTTTGTTTGCATAACAACTGAAATGAACAAAACAGAGGCCAGTTGCATGAAACCTCATCAAAGCTACGTTCACAAGACACCGGAAGTAACTTAGACACGGTTAAAAACATAGTCGAGCGTTTACGTGTCCCGTTCACACGAAACTACCTTAACCGTACGAAAATTCAGTACCAGTCGGAGTCGGAGGGTGTTATCCTAAGAGACCCTAGAAGCCTATTGAAGGCTACGGCCTCGGCGGATAACACCCTCCTCGATCTCCATAATTCTTCAGATGATACTCAGCCTCATTCAATAATTGCTAAAAATCACTAAGCTAGATGATGAGACCTCGCTAAAGAACGAGCCTAACCTAGACTGATTTCTCCTTCAAATGTTCCCAAACGATGTTTCACCGTACAGTACCGCAAATGGTCCCCAAAAAGGGATCGCAAAAGATCCTCGACCGTAAATAATCCCCATTGTCAATTACTGGTTAACATTTAAGCTAAACTGAACTAAACTCCAACAAACTGTAGTTAAACTAGATATAATATTTTTAAGGAGAAATTCTTCTCAAATCCGATCTAACGGATACTCAGTATTAGCCACAGAAAATTTCATGGTTTTATGCATTGTTCAAGTTTTCGACACCATGTACCATCCATGCCCATAATCCACTCCACTCCCGTACTTTTAACGGGATCATTTGCGTTAGCTCCATTTTGGGCATCATTTGCGGTACTATACATCACTGATGGTTGGGAAAAACGACGGGCTATTTGACTCTTGCAGCGATGTTGGTGGTAGACTGATTGGGATGCAAAATTGTTCATACAATGGCACATAGCACCTTGAAATATTTCTCCCCCGCAACATGTCTCACAAAGTTCAACGAAACTAACGCATCGTGTTTCCCAACCTTATAAATCGCTAACGATATTCATATGTCCTGGACCCGGTCGCTTAGAAAGGGTCAACAGTATTTAACAACTATTCCTGGCGCCCGAATAGGCTCTGAGTCAATAGGGAGCTTAAGAAACAACGACGGCGACGGCGACGGCGACGGCTACGAAAACGTCACTTAAAAATTGAGTTTACGCTGCCTTAAACTTTATCGCGCTTATTCCATCTCGTTTAATTCGTTAAATGTTGGCAAATTTTTTGGGAGTTGAATTCTAAATGACTGTATGAAATTCAGGAAAAGAAAAAGGAGGTTGTTTTCTTGTGGTCCCGTCCTCGACAAAACGTTAAATAAGGCATTTTCACGTCGTAGTCGTGCAGTAACGGCAAAGAGATGTACAAAAAAGTGTGATGCATGTGCAAAATCGTTGTTTTGCCAATTAAAACCTGTTGCTTTTTTACCGTACTCGTTCACGTCGGCGTCGTCGTTGGTTAAGCTCCCTAAGAGCCCATGAGGCCGAAGGCCGAATGGGCTAATGATTCAGAGGCCACGAGGGCGAGAGGAATTATTGTTTTAGTAAAATCCAACTAGTTGGTCAAAAATATCGAGACAAAACAACTTTAGCTAGAAAAACGCGATTCAGCCGCCATTGTTTTGATTTTCGCTACTCGTGGGCTATAACATATAGCCTAATAGTAGCTCAACCAATCAGAACGCAGCATTGATAATAGACCACTAGTTGGATTTTACTAATTTATTTTATGTAGCTCAGGGTAGTTAGTTATAGGCTACCATTTTTTCTTGTGCTGTATACATTTCTGATGTACCCATGATTTGCTTGATCCGCCTCCCAAATGAGTTATCTCATCGATTCCTGCGCGGATTGGACTTCTACATTTACTGCACCAAGTGTTAAACTTTGCTACGAATGACCTTCGTCCTTGCTTCGATGGAGTCCCTCCAGGATTCGGGAGCGACGCCGACCTTGGTCGATTTCCTTTACTTGGGAAGGTGTTGTATGCGCGCTTCGCCGAAGTAGACGGGGTTGTCGCGGTGTTGGGTGGGGTCTGTGGAGGAGTAGAAAAAGCTGAACTTTCAGAGAATCTCCTAGGATACGTTTTGGGGCTACCGCTATTTGAACCTGGTGATACTTGATTGATTGAGGATGGCAAGGTGTTTGAAGCGCTCATTGTGAAGCCAGCAAGACTTTCAGAAAACTGTGAATACGCCGCATTTCCTACTACATCAGCTCTGTCTTCATCTCTTTTCTTGCTAGTCACTCCTGAGGTACTTCTCTCAGTCAGAGACTTTCCAGAAGACAGAGAAGTTTGTTCGCACATGTTCTCAATTTCTCGTTTAACATGGCAGTTCGAAAAACCTCTCGTCTCTTGTTTGATGTTCAGTTTATTTCCTGAAGCTTGATACTCGCCCTCTGTCCATGTGCTACTTTTCTGCGGCTGGGAACTTTCCACATCAGAAGCCCAAGCAAGAATTTCGTCATCTTCCTCTTCATCAAACTCGTCTCCCCAGATGAGGTTCTCACTTGTCTCAGTTTCACAGCCTCTGTTTGGTGGAGTCTGGGGAGGAGAAGGGAATGCCGAACTTACGGGGCAACTCCCATTACAATGAAAAACACTACAACTTTTGACAGCTGGTGATAATTGATTGGCGGCCGAAGACAGCGTGTTTGTGCCACTTAATGCAAGGCCCGTCAGACTTTCAGAGGGAAGCGAGCAGGGACTTGTTACTGCATCAGCTTCCTCTTTCCCGAGGTTTTCGCTCCTCAAAGCTGGGATAATTCTGTCATCAAAGGAACTCCTAGAATCCACGAAAGTTTGATCACCCATGTCTTCAACACCAGAACGGACAACCTGCCTAATTTGACAGCCTAAAAAGTTCCTTCTCTCTTGTTTGATTCTTAAATTGTTTCTTGAGATGTAGAATGATTCACGTCCGGTCGTGTTGCAGGTGCTTCGTTGAGTTTGGGAACTTTCTACTTCTAAGGCCCAAGCCAGGATCTCGTTATCTTCCTCATCTTTAACTTCATCTTTCCAGAATGGGCTCTCGCGTGTGCGACTTCCACAGCCATCTCCCTTTTGAAGATCTCCCGTGCAAGACACATAGCCATTAGAACTAAGATGATGACTCGAAAAGACATCACTGTGATCATCGCTTTCAGAAAAAATGCTGCCGACGTCATTAGCTGGAGAAGTGGTAACATCCTCCTCTACATCACTATCACCTTCATTGGAAACAGGTGGCTTTTCTAAATCTGAAGTAAGAAACTTCTGTAATTTCGTGTTTCTCGAAAAAGGCTTCGTTTTAACTGCTGTTTCCAAATGCTTAGGATGGTGGATTATTATAACTTGTCGGACACCTCGAGTGACAGCGGTGTACACATGTTGGCAGGTTTGGTAGATAGGGCTTCCCACGACGTATACAACGGTGTCAATCTCTGATCCCTAGAACAAAGATATAGACAAAATGTATGGCGTAGATTTACGTACTAATTTGTTATCAAATCATGCTGATGACACTTGATTGACTGTAGTAATCAATGCATTACATTATCATTGTTATAAATTGTAACTTTATGTTAAAGCTTTTGCAATACTGTAACTACATAATTATAGTCATGCAAATAAAGCTTATGTTGCTGTTGTTGTTGTTGTTGTTGTTGTTGTCTTTCATAAATCCTGGTTTACGTACCAAAACCACATTGAAATGTAAATGGTAAATGCTTCATTTTTATAGCGGAGGTTAACTTAAGTGCTCTAGCTAGCTTACAGGCACTCCACTTAAATAATCGGAAACAAAAAATACAAATATAAAATAACAGGATTAAAACAAGACACATTAACAGGAGGCAACCAGTTGGCTGTTTACAAGCATGACCGGGCATTTGAACTCGGGACGACCGAGAAGCAAACCCAGCTAGTGGTCAGAGCAGGAGTCATACCCGAGATCGCAAGATTGCGTGTCCAACGCGCTGATCACTCGGTCACGCCACCTCCTCAAAACGGTGAGCTTTGACGTAACGACCGTCTTGCTGGCAATGGGCGGCAAGATTTCAGTAAAAGAGAGAAAACTGCTATTAGAAGCGTGTGGAAATTCTATACAGTGGAAGCTCTCGTGTGCGGACACCCTCGGGAAGCGATAAAGGTGTCTGTAATTGGAGCTGGCCGCTTACGGAGATGTAAAAATACAGGGTTTGTATGGGATTTGAGTAAAGGGGGGTTTGTGAGGGTAGCCGTAAGTAACACCGCGGCAAAACGTCTACGCATGCGCCAGGTTGAGCATTTCCGGTCTCTTTTTCAGTCACACTTTCCAGTCAGATCAACGTCTCCCGCGCGCTCTCGACTTCTGTGCAGCTTGTGGTTCAGTTGTTCTGATTCACGCTGCTCGTGTTTTTGACTATTTTGTAGTTATTGAAATTGCTTTTGTGGATAACCAGGCACAGATCACTGAAACAATTAGTCGTATAGATTCAGAAAAGGTAAGATGATAATAACTCAGTGTGTAATTTTCGCTAGAGCGTCAGTTAAACTGATTTTCATTCACGAAAACAAAGTTTTTGACTGTTATTTTTTACTTAACCTGGCTGAAACTGAGACATAAAATGTTATCATTACAAGCTTGTGTGTATTAATTTTTTTCATTCTCAGAATGGGAGAGCGAAAGCTGATTCGATGGCTTTTAGAAGTCGAACTTTTCATGCCATGTATTTAGCAGCTGGAAGTTTCGTGTTTGCATGAGATGCAGCCGAGCCGCACAGTCTGAAATTATTGAAGTCTTCAACCAAAGAACAACCATGTAAAAGAATTAAATAGGCATTTTCTTGAATGAAAGTCATTTATACTGTTTAGTTTCCCGGCACTGAAAACTCCGGGTGTTCGTGACTGCAGTCATGAAAGTCGAAGTTGTTGTTAAATCCCGCCCATGTCTTGTTTTGAGCTCTTGTTTTCTCCGATAATAAAAAAATTATTAAACCGGGACTAAAATTTTATTTCCTGGTTTTAATGTTAATGATAATGATGACGTCTTTATCTTGGTTTCTTTCATAAGTATTGTTATTCTATTCTTAGTTGTCGCCTTCTCCCACAACTTCTGCCAAACCAGTAGCATGCAAGAAAGCCAGTAAAAACAAATTCGTCTTGTCGAGCGCTCGCGACCTGCAAACTTCAAACATCATTTTCACCGTTGGTGCAAACAGATAACCATGTGGTGCAAAAGTTTGACGCTAGAAAAATATATAAGCTTTCGAATGAAGTGATTTCTTTCGCCCCCTTTTTTGTCTGTTTCTCCCTTTTTGCTTTCAAACTTGGCACGACGGCAATGTTATGCTTACGCAATTGGTTTATATACTAGACCGGAAATAAAAAGCTGACCGGATGTTAAATTTTGTGCTCATGCGCAGTGCGTTTTGCCGCGGTGTTGCCGTAAGTAAAGCTGTCCCCTTACGGGAGTGTTCGTTTGGAGAACGTGCACTGTATAACATTATCCAAGTAGCTGACGTTTTAAACCTTCCCTTCAGATCGTCTTTTCACAATTTTTCTTTACCGACGTCTTGAACTAAACGTATGAAAAAACGAATGAAAAAAGGAGAGATATCCTCAAAACTAGCCTGCCGAGAAAACAGCCGACATTTCGCGCAGGACGCCACCACTGGTTTCCCCACGAAGCGACGTCTGAGGGACGACTGCAGAAATCCATACTGATGACGAGTCAATACCCAGATCTGGGTAGTGCCTCTGATTGGTTGAAGCAAATTTCCCACGCGGCACGACTAATAAGAAGCACTACCCAGATCTGGGTAGTGACGCGTCATCAGTATGGAATTTCTGCGTTCGTTCCTCAGACGTCATTTGGCGGGAAAACCAGTGGAGACGTTGCCAAATGTCGGCTGTTTTTTCAGGCCAACTCAAAACAACATTAGGGAGTATAAAATGCCACGACGGCGACGACAACGAGAACGTCAAAAAAGAAATTGGTTGAATAGGCAAAACAACAACTCTGCACGTGCAGCACGCTTTTTTATACAATTCTTTGCCGTCTCTGCCCGATTACGACGGGAAAATGCCTAATTTCACGATTTATGGAGGACGCAAACAAGCGACGGCTAAATTTTCTTTCTCTTTCTGAACCTGAATATGATTCTTAGTAATTCGACTCAAAAAGAGTTCGCTTGCATTTGACGTAGTAAATGAGTTGGAGTAATCGCGATAGAGATTGAAAGAACACAAATTCACTTTTTAAGTGACCTTTTCGTAGCTGTCGCCGTCGTGGTATCTTAAACTCCCTAATCGTATGAATCATACGGAGATGAGTGAGAAGAGTTTCATACATACCTGGTAGGTGTGGATCGTCCTGGCCCAGGCATGGCAAAGTTTAGCCTTCTTCAACATCTTTAACTCAACCTTGACGATCTTCTCTCCATTGTCTAGAGCTAGGTAGGTTGTTTTCTTTTTACGGTTATCCTCTTCGTCAATAACTTCTTTTATGAAGAAGATCTCTCCGTTACAGAACTTCACGTCTTCCTTCGTGTAAGCATCGAAGCAAACGATGTTTTTTTTTACACAGACTTTATCTCCAGCCTGGAAGTCGTATTTTCCTTTGCAATTCTTAATGGAATGGTTATTGTAATGAACCGCACAGACAGTCTCGTCTCCGGAAAGCAATAAATTGCGACTTATCAGGCCCTGGCAAAGTGAGCTCTGATATTTTGTTTTGCAGCAAGTCTCGCACTACCTGTGTAACCGCCATGTCATCTGAATCAGTTGTGTCGTCGCCATGCTTTGATTGACACTCAAGTGAAATGAACCCTTTTTTGCGATCATCTGGGAAGCGAGGCAGCTCTAGACGACAAATCCTGCTTGCATTATCGACAATAAGTTGAGACTCTGCTCTGTGATTGGTTCTTAGCGTGATACTGGAGCCATACGGTAAGAGAGCTTGGTACACATCACTTAAAAAATTCCCAGGTTCGATGGATGGCAGTTGATTCTTGTCACCCAGTAAGACGATTTGTTGAAGGGACGTTTTCTTCATGAGAATACTTATAAGGGTAGAAAACGTCTTGACAGAAATGAGCGAACTTTCATCACAGACAAGAATCTTGACATCTGAAAATTTCCACGGGGAATAGCTTTCATTATTCTTGACTTCCTTCAACCAGCGAAGGTAACTAAAAATAACAGAATGCAGTGTGTATGACGATACACCAGTACGTTTGCCCAAAATAGAAGCAGCTCTGCCTGTTGGTGCAGTCAGCAACACAGAATCACCACATGGGTCGGTCTTTTTAATCTTCTTGGGCGTGTCCGGAGTAGAGAGATCGTTCTTAACAGGAGTTTCTGAGCCAGAACACATTGGAGTTACGAGTGGACTTGAGATGCACTGAGTGATGTCTTGAGTGGCATCAGAGGAACTTTGTGAATTCTCAACAGACGTAGATTCACTTTGTTTTGTACACGACTCGGCTGCGGCCAAATGACTTCTCTTTACTTCTAGTGCCTTTGATAACACTGTGGATACCACATGGGTTTTGCCGCACCCACCCCTCCCTGACAACACTACTACAGGGCTCGTTGTTATCAATTTTGCCGCACTCAACTGGTCTTCGTCGCCACCAAAGGCCTAGAGACCGAAAACAAGAAAAAGTTAACGCTGGTTTACACGTATCACACAAGGATAAACATAAACATAACCACAAGCATAATGCATGGTTGAATTCCCATTGACCCTCAACCCCTCCGGGAAACCCTTGGGCAAAACCAGCCCTTCGGGCCCCAGGGTGGGGTAGGGGGCGGGGCAGATAGAAATTAACTTTTCTTTGATCTTGTGAAGTGCGTGATTTCTCAATTGACATGACGGCACCAGGCTAGAATACTGTTTATTTCCAGGGGAAATCTCAAGAATTTGTAACAGACTGGTTAGAGAAGAATAACCTATCACAATTAATATCTTTATTCAAAGGTACGTTTGTTATAAATTGTCAAACGAATGCGCGTATGAAGTGTACTCGAATGAATGGCTTTCGTTCAAAAAAGATATTTTCTCCACTGTGTATTTATCTTAAAGAGGATGGTAGAACTAGGAGCCCATTCATTTGATGGCGTAAGTATAAGAAAAGAAAACCTTCCTTGTATTTTTTTGGCATTGCATCTAATTGTACGATGCAAGGGACGATGCAAGTAGAAAATGGGTGTTTATTGTTGTTGTGGAAACTATGGTTGGTTTGGTATTTTGCGCGGAATTGTTCTTGTGTCTTTTCAATCTATTGTATTACATCATTTAGTGACTACAACCATTAGCGACACCAAGAAAATCCCAAGAAATTAAAGCATGAAAACCCTTTATTCCTTTATCGTTGGATTCATAGTTAAAATTCTCGGGCGCCATCTATAGAAGCACCAAAAAAATTCAACGTAACTCTCCCCTGTAAAATTCTTAAATGCTCATTGAGGGGGGGGGGGGGGGGGGGGATATGGCAAAAAATTGTGGACCACAAGCCAATAAAAAACCTCTAATAACATTATTAGCGGGAAAAATTTTACAGCGGGAAAAAACAATACAAAACATTCACCTTTTATCCCAACTCCAAATTTTTGCCCACGGT